TTTTTCCAATTTTTCGGAAAAAAACAAAAAAGCTTCAGGGGGGAAAACGGAAAAACCCCGTTTTCCCCCCGAATTTTTCTGTTTTTTTTTCCGGGCCTTCACATCTCTACCCGTGCCTTCTCCGTGGTGCCCCCCCCCCACCTTGTGGAATGGCTTGCCCGAGGAGGCCAAGAAGTCAGATGTCCTCTTTTTAGAGGACATGTCCTCTTTTTCTTTTTGTGTGTCCATCCTCTTCTGGACTCGTTTTTTAAAAAAACTGACGAAAACATCCTTTTGGGGTTGGAAAGTTAGGAATATTCTTGGTAGCAATTATCTCGGCTTAAATAGTAGGGGTATTTGAAATGAGATTTGTCATAGCGATCACTTGTTTAAAGTCGTCAGTTGAGAAATACACCCTCTTTTATGCTTTTCGAATTATGGTAACCCTATGCAATACTGAAGTTTTCAAAAGAGCCTTTCTACACAGGCAACAGGGCAGCACTGTACGAATGGCTTCACAAAGTTACTTGGATAAATTATTTCGAATTATGGTAACCCTATGCAATACTGAAGTTTTCAAGAGAGCCTTTCTACGCAGGCAACAGGGCAGCACTGTACGAATGGCTTCACAAAGTTACTTGGGTAAATTATTGGGGACTGTGGTCTGTACTACTGTGTCTGGTTTTCTGTGGGTTGGATCCCACTGTGTAATTTCGTATCATTTAGAGAAGAAAAAGAGATTGAATTTATACCTGGCCCTTTACCCGAAGGAGTCTCAGAGCGGCTTACAAACTCCTTTCCCTTCCCCTCCACACAACAGACACCCTGTGAGGTAGGTGGGGCTGAGAGAGCTCTCTCCAGAACTGCCCTTGAGAGAACATCTCTGAAAGAACTTATGACTGACCCAAGGTCACACCAGCAGCTGCGTGTGAAGGAGTGGGGAATCAAACCCGGTTCTCCCAGATTAGAGTCCGCACTCCTAACCACTACACCAAACTGGCTCTAATGTGTCATTGTTAACACTCGTGGCGTATTTAAGTTCCGTTTTTAGACTTCTGGTTGATTTCTACAACCCAAATCTTATTGCGTTGTTTACTGATGTCTCATCTTGTTGGTTGTATGACACGCTCTGTGTAATCCACCTTGAGTCCCCATGAGAAAGGCGGACTATAAATTATGTCAATAATTAAAATTAATGAATTAAACCAAGCATCTCTCTGGCTGGTGGTCAATTCTCTTCCTATGCCTCTCGCCCAAAGCTTACCTGCGGGCCAGGTACCCTCGGGTGTGCTTCTGGATTCGGATGGCCGCCTCCCTCATCCTCCTGTACTTCAGCCTCTGCAACCAGCCACGCACGGTTTTCTGGATCATGATGGTCGCGCTGCGGAACTTGTCTGCCCGCAACTTCTCCAGGTAGGCCACTTGGCCGGCGCGGAAGAAGATCTTGGTGCACCCAAACTGGAACTTGTCGGGATCCTGTTCGAAAGCACAAAAGGAAACAGTGCTTAGAAGCGTGTGACTTCTGTCGGCACGTAAGGGATGAAATGAAGCATGTGTTTCACAGTGGTATGACATAAGAACGTAAGAAGAGCCCTGCTGGATCAGACCAGTGATCCATCTAGTCCAGCATCCTGTCTCACACAGTGGCCAGCCAGTTCCTCTGGAGGGCCAACAACAGGGCACAGAGGCCAAGGCCTCCATAAGAACATAAGAAGAGCCCTGCTGGATCAGACCAGTGGTCCATCTAGTCCAGCATCCTGTCTCACACGGTGGCCAGCCAGTTCCTCTGGAGGGCCAACAACAGGGCATGGAGGCCGAGGCCTCCATAAGAACATAAGAAGAGCCCTGCTGGATCAGACCAGTGGTCCATCTAGTCCAGCATCCTGTCTCACACAGTGGCCAACCAGTTCCTCTGGAGGGCCAACAACAGGGCACAGAGGCCTTCGTAAGAACACCAGAAGATCCCTGCTGGATCAGAGCAATGGTCCATCTAGTCCAGCATCCTGTCTCACACAGTGGCCAGCCAGTTCCTCTGGAGGGCCAACAACAAGACACATAGAGGCCAAGGTCTTCATTAGAACACAAGAAGAGCCCTGCTGGATCAGACCAGTGGTCCATCTAGTCCAGCATCCTGTCTCACACCGTGGCTGACCAGTTCCTTTGGATGGCCAACAGCAGGGCATAGAGGCCGTACAAGTGACAGATGGCCAAAATGGGACATCAGACCTCACACCAGGATAAAGGAAGTAGGCATATGCTTTCAGAGAGCCAGTTTGGTGTAGTGGTTAAGTGCGTGGACTCCAATCTGGGAGAACAGGGTTCGATTCCCCACTCTTCCACTTGCACCTGGCTGGATGACCTTGGGCAAGCCGTAGTTCTGTCAGAGAGCTGTCCTTGAAAAAGAGCAGTTTCGGTCAAGAGCTCTCTCAGCCCCGCCTACCTCACAGGGTGTCTGTTGTGGGGAGGGGAAGGGAAAGGAGCTTGTAAGCTGCTCTGAGACTCCTTCGGGTAGTGAAGGGCGGGGTATAAATCCAGCCTCTTCTTCTTCTTCAGAGGGAATATGGCTTGGTGACAGGGCATCCGCTCTGCATTCAGAAGGTCCCAGGTTCACTCCTCGCCATCTTCAGTTAGAAATCCCAGATGGCAGGTGATGAGAAAGACTGCCACCTTAGAACTAGGAGAGCTGCTGCTAGGCTGTATACATGCAGTATAAGGGAGCTCCATGTGTATGACAGTGTATCGTGTGGTGGTTACACAGTGTTGGCCTAGGATTTGGGAGACCCCAGTTTGAATCCCCACTCCCTGGAGGTAACAAATGAGGCTGCCTTATACTGAATCAGACCATTAGTCCATGAGGGTGAATATTGTCTGCTCAGACAGGCATTGGCTCCCCAAGGCTTCAGGCAGAGGTCCTTCACACCACTGTGAGCCAGTTTCATATAGTGGTTAGGATCACGGACTCTAATCTAGGAGAATAGGTTTTGATTCCCCACTCCTCCACATACAGCTGCTGGTGTCACCTTGGGTCAATCACAGTTCTCTCAGAGATGTTCTGGAAAGAGCAGTTCTTGAAAGAGCTCTCTCAGCCCCGCCTACCTCACAGGGTGTCTGTTGTGGGGAGGGGAAGGGAAAGGAGTTTGTAAGCCGCTCTGAGACTCCTTCGAGTAGTGAAGGGTGTGGTATAAATCTCTTCCTCTTCTTCTTCTTCTTTTTCCTCCTCCTCATCCTGCTACATCTTTTAACTGGAAATGCCTGGGATTGAACCCGGGACCTTCTGCGTGCCAAGCAGATGCTTGACCAGTGATCAACGGAGCCTACTACCTCCTCCCTCAACAGAACTACAATTCCCAGAAATCCATGGGAAGAAGGAATGGCTGTTAAACCAGTGTGTGGTACAAAAGGATACCAGCTTGGGCTCTAATAGGATGAGACCAAAATGGGGCACAGACACGTGGGAGATGCCGTCAGAGGAAGTCGCGAGGTTTGTAAGCCGCCCTGAGCCCGCTTGCGGGGAGGGCGGGGTAAAAATCTTCAAATAAATAAAATAAGCCGAATAAAAAAGGACCTTTCAGACTGAGAGCAAAGAAATATCTCTCGTGGCCAGCTTTCGTTCATTATTTTCTAATTCTGCTGGCCAGAACTATATTCCGCAGTGTTTCTCTCATATGTCATTTGCCCCTCATGTCAAACTGAAAAAAGAGGGGGGGGGCGGGAAACCCCTCCTCCCAGCTCACCTTAACCAGGTTCTCCAGCAGAGTTTTACAGATCGCCTTCTTGTCATCCTTTTTGGAGAGATCCCGTTTCTTCATAAGGACTCGGTATCTGTTGAAGAAGTCGTGGTAGGTCCACCTGAAGAAAAAGCACCACTGCCCGTTAGGTTAGGTACTCGACCGAAAGATGCTGGGGTGAGGGGGGACAAGACCAGGAAGAGCTCAGATAAATGCTGTGGCGTGAGGCGGGAAAACACTGCAGCTTCTCAAAACAGACAGAGGCGGCAGAGTGGACGAGGCCCAGGGGTCATTTCCTGCAGGAGCGCACAGGAGCGGAGCTTCGGCAGTAAAGAGCCCAGGGGGCGGGCACATGCAACAAGCCCCGCCCCCTAACAAGCCCCGCCCCCTGCTCCCAGCAGCCCTCAGTCAGAGCAAGAAGCAGCCAGGTAGGTTGCACAGCCCCCCGGTCCAAAACAGTCCAGTGGCACCTTTAAGACCAGGTTTTATTCAGGTACAAGCTCGCCCTCCTCTGTGAGGACAGATCTGCACGTTTCTTCCCCCCCACCCAATAGCTAGGAATCCAAAACAGTCCAGTGGAGCCTGAGCGGTGGGTGTTGCCTTCTGACACACTCCTGGTGATGTCAGGAAGTGTGGCATATGCAAATGAGTTACGCTAATGAGCTATGCTAATGAGCTCCTGCACCTCTTTTTCTACGAAATGACCCCTGATGAGGCCACCCCAAAAAGGAGGACAGTAACCTCCTGTTGAACACAAGCTTTGGAGCAGAGGGTCACCCCCCTCAAAAAATGCCTTCCCATTAACAATTTAAGGGGTTATAGTTGGTCTCTGATTCGAGCCTGAGCTGCAAAAGCAACGAGAGTTGGCAAACATCATGCTGAATTCCCAGCGTTGTGAAAGGCTGCACATCTTCCAGATGTTGGAGTGAGGGACTCAGCATGCCTGGACATGGGGGGGGGGCGGCGGACGATGCACCCACACTCTT